TTTTTTGTAGAAACGAGTCTTGTCTTTTTTTTGTGAGACAGAGTCTCACTTTGTTGCCCTCGGTAAAGTGCTATGGCATCACAGCTCATAGCAACCTCAAAATCTTGGGCTTAAGCGATTCTCTTGCCTCAGCCTCCCAAGTAGCTGAGACTACAAATGCCTGCCACAATGCCTGCCTATTTTTTGGTTGTAGTTGTCACTGTTGTTACGTAGGCCTGGCTGGATTCAAACCTGCCAGCTCCAAGGTATGTGGCTGGCACTCTAGCTGCTGAGCTACAGGCACCAAGCCTAGAAAGGAGGTCTTATTCAGGCTGATCTCAAACTCCTGACCTCAAGCAATCCTCCTTCCTTATCCTCCTAGAGTGCTAGGATTACACATGGGAGCCACCACACCCAGCACACAATGTACATTCCTTTAATTATCTTTTTTTTTTTTTTAATTGGAGTCTTACTGTTGCCTAGGCTAGTCTCAAACTTATGGAATCAAGAAGTCCTCTTGCTTCAGTCTCCCAAGCAGCTGATAGTACAGGTGTGCTACCCTGCCTGGCTACACACCACTTTATACATAATGTATGTTATTTAAGAATGTACAAGTGGGGCTGGGTGCAATGGCTTATGCCTATAATCCTAGCATTCTGGGAGGCGGAGATGGGAGGATTGCTTGAGCCTAGGATTCAAGGCTACAGTGAGTTATGATTGTGCTACTGCACTCCAGCCTGGGTGACAGAGCAAGACCATATTTCTAAAAGCATAAGTAAAATAGTTTCATTATTATTAATTTATTTTTTTTGAGACAGAGTCTCAAGCTGTTGCCCTAGGTAGGGTGCCATGGCATCATAGCTCACAGCAGCCTCCAAATCTTGGACTCATTAATCCTCTTGCCTCAGTTTTTTTATTTCTAATAGAGATGGGGGTCTTGCTTTTGCTCAGGCTGGTCTCAAACTCATGAGCTCAAGCTATCCACCTGCCTCAGCCTCCCAGAGTGCTAGGATTATAGGAGTGAGCCACCACACCTGGCCAGATAGTTTCTTTTTTTCTTTTTATTTGTTTGTTTTTTAGAGACAGTCTCACTTTGTCACCCTCAGTAGAATGCTGTAGTGTCACAGCTCACAGCAACTTCCATCTCTTGGGCTTAGGCAATTCTATTGCCTCAGCTTCCTGAGTAGCTGGGACTACAGGCGCCCACCACAGTGCCTGGCTATTTTTTTTGTTAGAATTTGGCCGGGGCTGGGTTTGAACCTGCCATCCTCGGTATATGGGGCCGGCACCCTACTCACTGAGCCACAGGTGACGCCCCTGGCCAGATAGTTTCATTATTCATTATTCACCTGTGAAACTGAGGACCTTTTTATGGGTTTGGGCCATTTTTATTTCTGGTCTTGTTAGTTGCTTGATCATGCCTGTCCTTTGCCCAAAATGGGCAGGCCGGGTTTGAGCCCATCACCCTTGGTATCGGGGGCTGGCGCCCTATACACTGAGCCTCAGGCACTTCCCTCCCCAATAATTTATTTTTTAAAATTTTTATCACATGGATTTTATTTTTTTATAATTATTTTTTATTAATCATAATTTTGTACATTGATGCATTTATGGGGTTCAAGGTACTGCTTGGATATACAATGTGAAATGTTTACATTGAACCAAGGAACACATCCATCATAATTATACTCATTTCTTTTTTTTTTTTTTTTTTTTTTGTAGAAACGAGTCTTGTCTTTTTTTT